CATCATTATTTCTAGAAGTGTAAAAAACAGGCGGCAAAAGTGATGTCACTGAAGATCATGAAATCAAGAACTCTGGTGGCTCATCACTCCACAAAAGCAACAAGCCAGCAATGAGCTGGCAAAAAGTGTCATAATTCACTGTTACAGAACAGATCTTGTCAAAAACCTTCAAAACAGGGAAGAAGCCGGGCGCAGTGGCTCACGCCTGTAATCCTAGCACTCTGGGAGGCTGAGGCGGGCGGATTGCTCGAGGTCAAGAGTTTGAAACCAGCCTGAGCAAGACGAGACCCGTCTCTACTATAAATAGAAGAAATTAATTGGCCAACTAATTATATATATATAAAATAGCCCATGGTGGCGCATGTCTGTAGTCCCAGCTACTCGGGAGGCTGAGGCAGCAGGATTGCTTGAGCCCAGGAGTTTGAGGTTGCTGTGAGCTAGGCTGACGCCATGGCACTCACTCTAGCCTGGGCAACAAGCGAGACTCTGTCTCAAAAAAAAAAAAAAGAAAAAAAAAAAAAAAAAACCAGGGAAGGCTTCATAAAGAAAGAAGTGGCTGGCTGCCTTGAGTATAGCTTCTACCCTCCTAGTGCATGGGTACATATAGTGGCCAGAGCAGCCTAGGGCAAGGTACAACAGTCAGGATAAGCAAGAGACAGATGGAAAAGCAATGGAAGGAGGAAGTTATGAAAGGAAATGTGTGGGGGAATAGGGGACTTTTAAAAATTCCTGCATTTACTGGAGAAACAAGGAAGCCACAGATAAGTGCAGGGCTGGACAATTACGCAGGAAATGCCTGAGAAGAACTTAACCTCTCATATCTCACTACCCTGCAAGCTGGAAGTAAAAGTTAATATAGAGTTGTAAAAAGCCTGGATAGTGTTGAAAGAGTGCCCTAATACAAAGCCAGCAAAGACTGAGAGAATACTTTTCTTTTTTTCCTGGGCTCCAGGTGTTTAAAGAAACTGTCAGAGCACTAGGTGACCACTAAGCTAACAGAACATAGACTTCAGTAGGCACATGACAAAAATACAGACTTTACAAAAGTAATTGAAAAAAGTCACTAAAAAAGCAAACACTGATAACAACCCACAATAAGAACTATCAACTAAACCTCTATGTGTGTGTGTAGGGGGTGGGAAGTTTAGGAATCTGATTTCCAGAGTTGGTACATTATAATATTCAAAATGTCTAGTGAGACAACAAAAAATAAGACATGTAAATAAACAAGAAGGTATGGCCCATTCACAGTGAAAAAATAAATTTATAAACTGTACAGGAAGGAACCCAGGCATTGTGTTACTAGGAAAGACTTTAAATCAACTCTCTTAAATATGCTCAAAGTGCTAAAGTAAGCCAAATACAAAGAAGTAAAGGAAACTAGGAGAACTTTGTCTCACCATATAGAAAATATTAATAAAGAGATAGAAATTATTAAGAAAAAAACAAGTAGAATTTTTGGAACTGAAAAATTCAGTAACTGAAATGAAAAATTCACTAGAAGTTACCAATAGCAGATTTGAACACTCAGGAGAAAGAATCAGCAAACATGAAGTTAGGTCAACTGAAAGACATGAATGTACAAGTGCAAGAAGCTCAACAAACTCCATATAAGATAAACACAAATCCACAATGAATCACATTCTAATCATGCTGTTTATAGACAAAGGAAGTATTTCAAAAGCATCAAAAGAGAAGAATCTTGTCATATACAAGGAATCCTTAGGGTTAGGGATTAGCAGCCAATTTTTCTTATGAAACCAGAGAAGCCAAAAGGCAGTGGGATAACATATTTAAAGTTTATAAAAGGAAAAAAATGCCAGTAATTCCATATCCAGCAAGATTAACTTTCAGAAATTAAGAAGAAAACGTTCTAAGATAAAAACTTAAGGAGTTTGTTAATAGTAGACATCCCATGACAGATATGCAGGGAGTCCTTCAGGGTGAAATGAAAAGATCCTAGATATGAAAAAATAAAGAACAAGGAAAAAGGTAGCTACATAGATATATATATAAAGCCAAAAGTATTGTATTTTTGGTTTTTCACTCCCTTTTCCCCCCATGTGATTTTAAAAGCATGTACCTAAAACAATAAATTATAAGTCTATCTTAATAGGCACACAATGCTTAATGATGTCGTTTGTAAAAATAACATAAAATGGCCTAAAGCTATAAAGGAGCAGGCTTTATATACTATGTAAACTAATTTTTTATTTAATCAATTTGATTCCTATAAAATTTAGATATTAATTATATTCCCCAAGATAACCATGAAATGAACAAAATTAGTATATACAGAAAAAGAAATAGGAAGGGAATAAAAATCGTACACTAGAAAAGATTAATTAATCACAAAAGGAGGTAGTAATTGATGAATTGAGAAAAAAATACAGAAAATGTAACAAAATGGCAGAAGTCCTTCCTTAGCAGTAATTACTTTGAATGGATTAAACTCTCCAATTTAAAGGCTGACATTGGCAGAATGGATTTATAAAAACATGATCCAACCGTGTGCTGTCTAAAAGAGACTTAGTTTAGATCCAATTCACAAATGGGTTAATAGTAAAAGGATGCAAAAAGATATTCCATGCAAACAGTAACCAAAAGAGAATTGGAGTGACTGTACTAATATTAGACAAAATACACTTTAAGATAAAAATTATTTTCACAGACACTCTACTTCTAATGTATGTGATAGCCTTGAACCAAACACATAAACGTATATATTCTAGAAAGCCAATGTGCAACTTTGATGTATCTGTAAAAATCCAAACAAAATAACTCACAGTGTCTACTTTTCTAAAGAAATATTTTTGGCAGTGTACTTTCAAGTTTTACCTTTATTTATAATGAAAGCTTGAAATGTAGGTAAGTAAGTTTTGGTATTGATAACATTCAGTGTAATATTAATATTATATTTTTCTCAAAAAACTACGTGGCACCATTTACATACTGGGATGATTAAAATGTTCTTACTAGTCAAGGAAATAAAAATGTTCTAACAAATTCTTATTTAATATAAAATCTAATCATCTGAAATATATTTAGTGACATTTTAAGTAGCCTTTTTATGTATGACCTGAGAAAAATTATATAAGGAAAAATCTCAAATCACAAGGAAATTCCACATAAATAATGTCAGTTGAAATTTATAACAAAAAAAGTTCATGCACATACACATTCCCTCCACCCCCCACAAATATAAATAGAAGAAAGAGCAGAATGCAGTTGATAAAAATAATTGAGTTTCTGTTGAGCTTCTGTGATAGAGAATATGCCTCATTCACTTCTTTATAATTGCTCAATTTTTCATTTATGTGCCAGATGCTTATATTATCCTTAGGATTTGAGCACTAATTGATTTGCTGTTATTTTTGAATAGAGGAGGGTCTAAAGAAATGTAAGATTTAGCAATAAAGTATAAAAGTATGTCAGTTACCCCATGCCATTGGAAATTTCCCATTACCCAATATTGTGTGAAATATTCATTGGCATGAAATTTTACTATAATGTGATCAGGATGAAATTGTAGAAAAGAATGTTATTGCATGTGTGTGTGTATTGAACCCCTTGTTGAGCAAATAGGGAAGTGTAGTGATGAGCCTATATCTGTTTAGTTAAATGGTATCAGTTCTCATGAATAATCATAGATCTCATTTATAATATTTGAATGCATGTAGCCATCAAGCTGCTAATGGTGTTTGCCTCAGGAAAATGGCATTTGCAATGAAGTGTTTACATTTGTCCTTCATAGATTTGAATATTCTAAGAGATTTTTCAAAAAACTGATATTCATTATTTGAGAAGCAATCTAGAATAAGTATGTGCAGAAAAAATTGTTGTTGCAAAATCTTTATTGACCTTATGGAACTAAGTAATCTATATTTCTAATTGAACACAGAAAATAGGAATATTGATGATAGAGTCACATTTTGAAATTATTTGTTTCCTGGTAGTGGCATTAACCTAGCTGCCTTTCTTTATGCAGGGCTAATATACTTGGAAATATATAACAGAAGTAGGTCTAGTTTGGAGAAATGCCAAAAAAGAAGAGGGCATTAAAAGAAAATTGGTATCCCAAAAATAGTTAAGAAAAATATTTAAGTATATTTAACAAGTTTGCAAATGTTCAAGCTAGAATAAATGCAGAAAACATATTTGAACACTGGACATACAAAGAAATGGTAACTTTAAAAAAGGGAAGTTCTTATTATATGAGTAAGGAAAAATGTGAATGCATGATAAACACATGTTAAAAGAAATGTCTAGTTGAGATTGAGAAACCACTCATTTATGGATTTAGATTTTATCAGGATTTGGACACTTTGCCATTAGTGTTAATTACTTTTTTAAAATCTCTTAAATGATAAGGCACTGCATGTAGTAGAATATAAATATACATATATGAGAACATGGAAACTGTGTAAGATAATAATAATGAAGATTTTGTTAAAACTGCCTTCAGTGTGTATGTTTAAGATAAATATACACATTAATATGTATCTACCTCTGTGTGCATGCATATTTAGTAATTATATTTTAAGCATGGTGATTTTTAACGTTATCATACTCTGTCTATATATGTATGTATGTACATATATATGTAAACTAAGATGTTAATGAGACTTTATATATACATGCATTAAAGCAGGGGAATGCATCTCCTTCAAAACTTTGTTCACACCTGATGTGATCTAAACCACAAATCTACGTATCAATCTAGTTTTAATGCAGGTTTATTTTTTATGTGAACCTAAATATATAAGTATTTATTTATATATTGAAAAGAATGCAAGTATATAATCCAAAAGGTTATCATTCTTAACAGGTTTTATAATAGTGCTTCTCTTCTTGATCAGAACATGGTTATTTTCTAAATACTTGGCCAACATCATTCTTTTTATTTTTTAATTAAAACTTATTTTTGTTATTATTTTTTTTAGAGATGTGGTCTTGCTATGTTGCTAAGGCTGTTCTTGAACTACTGGGCTCCAGTTATCCTCCTGCAAGTTATCCTCCTGCCTCAGCCTCTTGACCAGCTGGGACTACATGCCACCACACCTGGCTTGCAAACACCATTCTTAATGAGATGGTTACCATAAGTCTGTTATCTAAGAGTTGAAAGGTAACAAGCGTGCGCGCACACATACACATACACATACACACACACACTGAAGTAGGAGTATGCTACCTTCCAGTGGTAAAGGTTGGAACAGTGGGACAAACCTGAGTAACCTTTAATGGGAGTTTATATAAATGTAAGTATAGGTATCATGCCCTGTGGAGCAATGTATGGCATATAGTGATTGTGTCTTCTCTTAGGACTCCTACCAGTTGCTAACAATTCAACACATAAAGCTAAAGAATGGGGAAGACTCCGGTTGTCTGGGAGGGGAACTAGGTCAGAGACCACTTTGATTTGTGAATTGGTAGCTCAAGACAATCTCCAGGCTTCAGGCAATTCCTTCTCCCTTTTCTGCCTGGATCCAGCTCATTTAATGCCTGGGACAATTGGATGCCATAAAATGTTGAGTGACAATAAGGGGACCCACATAGACAAGATCAGGAGGAAATTTAATTTCTGAAAGAACAAGATTCCTCATGAGGGTGGGTGGTTTTAGGCTCAGTTTGGTTTCAGATGGAAAACAAAAGCAAAAGTGCAGCAATCTGAGCAGGTTGCCATATACTGGCAGAATTGGAGGCAGCCATGTTTCCTGGCGCTTTTGTCTTTGGGTGGCGTTTTTTCGGACAGGAAGGGCGGGAGAGGAGAGCGCCAGGAGGGTTTATTGATATATTTGGAGCACTACTGCCATCGTGAGGAAATAGTTTGAAAATAGCCTACGCCATTACAGAGTCCTTCCCGTAAGGCCTAGCTGCTGGGGAAGGTCCGGCCTGAGAGTAGGTGGGAGGCTTGGGCTCCACGCTGGGCCTCTTTTCTAGGGCCTTCATACTGAGGTCCCCAACCCTTGGGCTGCAGCTTGAACCTGTCCGTGGCCTGTTGGGAACCAGGCTGCACATGACCGCCTGAGCTCCGCCCAACTGCCCTACCTCTCCTACCTCTGTGGAAAAATTGTGTTCATGAAATTGGTCCGTGGTGCCAAAAAGGGTGGGGACCACTGCCTTAAGAGAGACCTGGACATTGGCGATATCTTTGTGTAGAACCTGGATAGTGGTGGTCCTGGAGTGAACCAGCAGCTGCCAGGAGGTACCACTTCAGGAAGTCATGGGGCGGGGCCTTGTTTCCTGCCAGTGCAGGTGGAACTGGAAGAACCCACCCAAAACAAATGTAGACTCTTGTGGGCATTTGGCTACTGTTCCTACTCCTTGGAGCAGAAGTTAGCAGGCTTTCACGCGGCATCACCTTGCTATAGGGCCGTGGGTCCATTGTGACCTACTCTCAGGCCAGACCTTCCCCAACAGCTAGGCCTCATGGGAAGGACTTTAATGGCATAGGCTATTTTCAAACTATTTCCTCACGATGGCAGTAGTGTTCCAGAAATATTAAGAAGTCATGTGTTGGCGCCCTCCTCTCCCGCCCTTTCTGTCTAAAAAAACGCCACCCAGAGACAAAAGTGCCAGGAAACATGGCTGCCTTGAGTTTTGTCAGTATATTGCAACCTGCTCAGATCGCTGCACTTTTGCTTTTGTTTTCCATCTGAAACCAAACTGAGGCCTAAAACCACCCACCCTCATCAGGAATCTTGTTCTTTCAGAAATTATGTTTAGACCAGACCTTGTCTATGTGGGTATGATTTACTTCACTCAAAGTTATGGAGCCAGTACTTTCCCATGGCATCAAATTATCTTTTTCAGAGATAAATTGGGTTTATGAAGCTTAAATTAGGAGGAAATTGCTTGAAGCTAGGAGGAGATCTTCTCTGGGAAACAATTCACAAATCCTGGTCTTACCTGGCTTCTCTCCTAGACACTCAGGGAGTCCTCCATGTTCTAGCCTTCTTTGTTGAATTAAAGGCAAAAATTTGGCATGAGCCATAAGAGAAGGGACCAGATAGCTGTCATTACTGCATGCCATATATGCTCTATGTGGCATGACACTCATAGTCACATTTGTATCAATTCCTATCACGTTACTCAGAGTTTTGTCTTGTCAACTCAAATGAATGAGTCAGACAAAAATCTCAATCAATGGAGGTTTAGTAAGCCATGATTTTGAGCATGTTCCAGGGGATAAAACATGAACTGCAGACAAGCTGTGGGTTTTTTTTTCCAAAGGTGAAGTTGGAACCTTCAGCATTGTAAAGGCATAGAGAAGGAAAAAGGCAGGGGTGGGGCAGGAGGGGTGGTGGTGTCTGATGAAGTAGTGGCTACATTCTTGTGAGGGCCAAGAAATCTACATTTTACATAAAATAAGGGAGTGAAGGAAGCATCAATTATGTAGATGTCCATGGGTAGGTGGAAGAATGCCTGATTCTGTCTTGTCTCTAATTCTGTTACTTGTATAATAAACCTGTAATTCATTGTTAGTGTTGAATCAGGCTTTAGTTTTAGGTGGTAGACATATGTACAATTTGCATGTCCCTCCTTATGGGAAGTTAGCAAGAAATTTCCATAATGAATGATCTGTGGGGCCATCTCTTCACAGGTGCCTGAAGCTGTGATTTTCTTTTTATATTTCTCCCATTCTTCAAAATCTTTTCAGAGAAAGCATTGTAGAATGCCTGAGCTCATGGTTGCATTTTTTTTTCTGTTTTACTTCAGCATATTATGATGGTACAAATGTTTAGGTTACGTATGTTGCATTTGTTTTTAATCGACTCTCAAGTCTTTGCAATGAAGGTCATTTTTAGGAGATCATGTCTCTTAATGGAGAAAAAATTAAGTCAAGGTCTAATGTCAAAAAATTGTAGGTAAATAAAACTCAAAAATGCTGGACAAGGGTAGAATGCAATAATGAATTTACTATATATATTTGAAACATAATTTTCTTTCTCTAGTTTTTCATTTTTATTAGACACAAATAATAGACTAATTTATTTGCAAAATAAATTTTAGTCTCAAACTTGGTCTGATTACTTCCATAAAGTGCAGTAAGAATAATCATTGGCCATGTAGGCCTTATTTTTAAAAATTTGCTTTGCTAGAACCCCCCTTTTTTAAAAAAGGAATTTCAGTTTAATTACATAATGAGTGAGATGTGTACCGTTTGGGGGATGGTCACTGTTAGGGACTGGCTTCCTGCACCCCGCCAGGCAGACGAACAAAGACACCAAGGATGCAATCACTCAAGAGGAGTTTTATTTTCTGGCTAGCCAGGGTCTGAGCCCTAGAGTGCCAGCGCAGTGGCCGCTTACAGGCAAGGACCCGACCTGAATTGTGGGGTGCTTTTATCTCCCCCCAAAGGGCCCTAGCAAGGCACAAACTAATTATGCGCTGGCCATGAGCTGACCTTTGAAGTGATTAATTTTCTTTGAATTCTGCGCGATCCCTGTGCATCCCACCTCCCTTTTGCCTTTTTTCACAACCCAAGAGATAACTGGAGGTATGAGTATAAACAGATGTGTGCTGTTCGCTAATTGCCTCACCCTACTTCACACGAAGGGGGGGGGAAATACCTTTCTTGTTGTGCCACTGAAACGCCGCCGCCGAAGGGCCATCGAGGCGCCCCCACAGTCACACTGGAAACTCAGATTTGTGGGAGGAGGGGGGGGAAAGGGTATTGTTTGAAACCTTAAAATTTGTACCCCCATAATATGTTGAATTAAAAAAATATATTCAATGAAAGAATCAGTGAATGGAAATGGAAATGAATAATCTTGGAATGACTTTCTAAGATGAAACAATACAAATAAAATATTTTAGAGCTAAAAAAAAAGGTCTCTTGAGCCAAGCCAAGGATTTAACTGCCTGTAGATACCTACACGAACTGGGAAATTCCTCCTTTTTGAGGTCCCAACATGTTCTTTGCCAAGTCTCCAATGGCGGTGGCACCAATAAAAGAAGACATACTACTTTTATTGTCTGTTTTCTCTTTTCATCAGCTCCAGCCTTGAAGATGTTAACAGGTGCAAGGGAAAGGAACACCATGGTTCTGAGGAGTTCAGCATACAAGTGCTGCCCTCACAGCTCATGCCTGGGGCCTGCAGTGAAAAGGAAGCTGGAAGTGATGCTTGCTGCAGGGGGAAGTTCCCTGGCCTGCGAACCATGCTGGCCAGCACCACTGCCTGCGGGGGTGAAATGCAGTTTGCCTCAGTCATTCATTTGGTTGACAAAGGCATGGGTCCCTTATTCAACACTGTGAGAACACCAAGGACAGGCCAGTTCCAGGTGGGATATAGCAGTAGCAGGTGTATTTGCTGAAAGTCTCAGGTCCACCCAATTGTCTGGTGACTGGGAAGTTCTGAAGAGAAGTGGAACAACCCAGCCAAGCAAAGAAGAGTTAAGTCTTTTTCTAGTGGAGTAGTTACACATAAAAAGATGGGGATCAAAAACAGTGACAAGGATTGAAAACCAATCTACATTTTAAAAGTTTGTGTAAGAGATGGCATCACCCGTGATCTCACTTCACTTTTCCATGTATGACTGTTTTGGCAGGTACATTTTAAAGAAGTGTGACTATTTTTAGAAATGCAAAAATGTTTCTAGAGGCAAAAGTGACATCAATGAAAGTGGTGAAGTAGGGAACTCTAGCACTCATTCCTCCAGAAAAGCAACTAAAAACATTCAATAAACTATGATTAGAAGGAAATTTCCTCAACCTGATATGGGGCATTTATAAACAAACAACAATAAGAAAGAGCTAATATTATGGTCAAGGGTGAAAGACTGAAAGCTTTGCCCCTAAGATCATGAATAAGACAAAAATACTCATTTTCGTTACTTCTATTGAACATAAAACTGGAAGCTGTAGTCAGGGTAATAAGTCAAGAAAAATATATAAAAAGCATCTCAATTAGAAAAAAATGAGTTTATTTCTCTTCACAGATAATCATGATCTTATGTAAAGAAAATCCATTAAAAATGCAAAAATAAAAAAACCCAAAAATATTAGAGCTAATAAATGAATCCAACAAGTACTGCAGGGTAGAAAAATAACTCAAGGCCAGGTGTGGTGGCTCATACTTGTAATCCTAGCACTTTGGGAGGCTGAGGTGGGAGAATCACTTGAGGCCAGGAGTTTGAGACCAGCCTGAGCAAGAGCAAGACCTTGTCTGTATAAAAAATAGAAAATTTAGCCCGAGGTGGTGATAAAAATTCAAACAAATCCTAGAACTGAGAAACATTGGCTGAACCAAAAAAATGCATCAATGAGGCTCCATAGCAGAATTGATCAAGCAGAAGAAAGATTCAATTAACTTGAACACAGGCCATATGAAAATACACAGAGGAGAAGAAACAGAGAGAAATGAAAAGAAACAAAGAATGCCTATGAGATTTACAGGATAGTCTGAAAAGAGAAAACCTAAGAGCTATTAGTTTTCAAGAAGAAGTTGAGAATGAGCCAGAGGTAGAAAACTTATTCAAAGAAATAATATAAATTTTTCCAAGCCTACAGAAAGATATTCATATCCAGGTACAGGAATATCAAAGATGACCCACACAGATTCAACCCAAAGAAGGCTACCTGAAGGCATGTAATAAACTCTCAAAGATTAAGGACAAAGAGAAGATCTAAAAAGCAGTAAGAGAAAAGAATCAACATATAAAGGAGCTCTGATTAGTCTAGTAACAGACTTAGCAATGGGAACCATACAGGCCCAGAAGGAGTGGGATGACATATCCAAAGTGGTCAAGGAAAAATACCCGCAACTGAAAATACTGCACAAAGCTATCTTTCAAATATGCAGTCTTTCCAGACAAACAAAATCTGAGGGAATTCATCACCACAAGACCTGTCTTACAACAAGTGCAAAAGGGAGTTTTCCAGTCTTGAAGAAAAGTATGCTGGCATGTGATAAGAAAACATCTGAAGGCATAGAACTCACTGGTAAAAGTAAGTACACAGACAAAGCTGGGTGCAATGGCATGTACCTGTAGTGCTAGCTACTCAAGAAGCTTTGACCTGAGGATCACTTGAGCCCGGCAGTCCAGAAGTTAAAATTCAGCTTGGGCAAGATAGTAAGACCTTGACTCTAAAAAAATTTTAAAAAGTAAGTACACACAGATAAATTCTGAATACTCTTAATACTGCAATTGTGGTGTATAAACAACTCATCTATAGTATGAAGACTAAAATACAAATCTATGAAAAATAACAACTACAACAATTTGTTAACAGATACACAATATAAAAAGATGTAAGCTGATAGAACAAAATGTCAAAATGGGGGAGTCCAGTTACAATGTGAAGTTTTTTAGTTTTTTCTTTGTTGCATTTCTTTGTGATAAGTGTTTAATTGTCATTTGTTTGAAATAACTTGTTATAACTATAAAATGTTTTCTGTAAGCCTCTTGGCAACCGCAAAGCAAAAACCTATAATAGATACACCAAAAATAAAAGGGCAAGGAATTAAAACATATTACCAGAGAAAATAACTTAACCACAAAGGAATACAAGAGGAAAGAAAGGAAGAGTTGAGTTATAAAACAACCTGAAACAAGTAACAAAATGGCAGTAGTAAGTCCTTACCTATAAATAACAACATTGAATGTAAATAGACAGCAAATATTACTTAGCTATAAAAAGAAATGAATTTTGATGTATCTTCTAGCATGGATGAACTTTGAAAACATGCTAAGTAAAAGAAGCAAGAGAGAAGAGGTCACATATTGTGATTATTCCATATGTATATATGTATAATATCTAGTACAGGTAAGTCCATAGTGTCAGAAAGCAGATTAATGGTTGCTGGGGGCTGAGCAGAGGAGAGATGGAGAATTACTACTTAATGGGTCCAGAGTTTCTTTTCTTGGTAATTAAAATGGTTTGGAATTTGCTAGAGGTAATGCTTGCACAGCATTGCGAATGCAGTAAATGCTACTGAATTTCACACATTAAAATGGTTAATTTTATGTTACATGAATTTTATCTGTTTTAAAAAGTGGCAATATTTTTAAACATCATTTCCAAAGCTAATTAATTATATGTAGTTAATTTTTTCAAATATGAAAAGCATGCAAATTATAACCAAGGAAAACTTGTTTTAACAATTATGGTATAGGGGAATTTGAACATTATTTTATAAAAGTGTATATTATATGTGCATAGGGAGCAGATGTTAATACATAGTATAGAAATTTTAAAGGTGATTATTTCTTCTCACTATGTCAAACTTACCATATATTTTCTGCTTTATAATTTCATAAAGGTCTTCTAGAGCAACATACAACAAACTTCAAGCACTCAAAAGTATATATTGATAGGTATATATGCAAGTAGTATATCAGATGATGCCGAAGATTTTGTACAAAATTACAAACAGTATAAATCCAATTATATTTAAAGTGAAATGTGTGTGTGTTTATATCCATAGATATGCATATTATTTATAATTATCTATATGTATATATAAATTTCTAAAAGTCATATATTTTTAAGCATGATCATAATATGTGTTTGTATATGACATTTTTGATCACTATATTCATATCTTTATATAAACAGAGACTTTAATGAAATATTATAGTTCCATGTGGATTGTGTGAATACATCCATCTTAAAGTTTTCTTAGGATACACACCTAGGTAACTGAATATGAGTGATGCCTATTTCAACTATCATTGAATTTTTTTCTTTCTTTGTAGTTTTCAAAGATAAAATTTTAGGATAAAAGAGTATGATCAAATTTTCTGAGGTATAAATATATTTAATATCTATTTATTTAATATGTATATATATTTGTGTATATGTATGTATAAGTAAATATATTGTATAAAGAGTAAGAAATGAGAATGTAATTTTTTAAATGGCTAGAGTAATCCAGAAGCTGTTTGTAAATATTTTATTTTCCAAAATCCAGATTTTGCATTTTTTTTATGACAGAGTCAAAACCTTCCCAGGAATCAGATGTGAAAAGTTTGGTTTTAAAACAAGATATATAACTAGATCCAATTTAAATGTAACTTTTTTTGTGGTATTTGATTGTATATAGAACTTTGTGTCTATGTATTAAATGGGAGTAAATATGGAAAAGGTTATTGTTTAGTCCAAAGTTTTATGCTATTACTTTTCTTTTGATCAGCACATGGTTATTTTCTGAATCCTTTGCAAGCTTTATGTCTTAGTCATTAATGAGAAAATATAACACTGATCCTGAACTGAAAAATAGTAACACGTACACATAGTAATATCATATGATGCAGTTGTAGGCTATTTAATTATTAATACATGGGAAAATGCTCGTGTTCTAATGCTAAATGATGAAACTGTGAGACAAAATCCTGTGACAAAATCCTGTGATCCATCTGACTAGAATTTATAGTCATTCCAGTACTTGTGTCACTTTAAGTAGAGCACTGTATAACATTCAGGCAGGAGAGCTATCTGAACTCTTATCTTAGAGCTCCACCAAATGCCTTCCTCCCATTCAACACACAAGGCCTAGTGCCTAGGTCAGAATATGGAGTAGGAGTCCTAGGGAACTTGGGAAGTGAGTCAGGACAAGAACCATGTGGCTTGGTGCCTGGATTTGTTCTTCTCCAAACCCTTAGGTGTAAACATTTTCTTTTCCATCTTAGGCATGAATCCTTGAGTTTTGTACCAATACCACAAGACAATTTGCTATCATGATAAAACACTGGAGATACGATGCTGACTGAATGAAGAACAAAAATGGGAAGACTTGGCTGTGCGGAAATTGAGTTCTGGAAAAGAGAAGATGCCTGATGAGGGTGCGTGGCGTAGATTTCAGTTTGATATCAAATAGAAACCAAAAGCAAAATCCTAAGAAGAGTAAGTTTCTACAAATTGAGCAAAATGCAAGGTAGCCATAGTTTCTGGTGCTTTTGTCTCTTCATGGCGTTTTTTCAAACTGGATGGGCGGGAGAAGGGCGCCTAGAGCAAAGCTAGTTGAGCAATACTGCCATCGTGAGGAAATAGTTTCATGAAGTCCCAAGCCAAGAGCATTTTCCTCCACGTAAGCCTTACCAGGTGAAGAAGGAAGGGTCTGTGGGAAGCTGAACAGGCCCTCATACCACGTTTGGCTTTCTAAAACTTTTCTTTGAAGCCTGGCAGGAGAAATGGACAAATGCAGTCTTGGGGTAGTATCTGGTGAGTGAGGGACCAGGACTGAGTCAGCAGCTTCCAGAAAGTCCCAGCACAGGAAGTAGAATGGCAGAGTGTTAGTTTTCTTACAGTGTAGTTAGGACTAGAGGAAGCCCCTTATAGCCAAAGGCGGACCCTGGAAGCATTAATCTTATGAACATGCACTTTGGAGTTTTAAGGCAGTCTCACGGTCCTTCTGTTGTGTGGCCAAGGCGTTTATAGCAGTAGTGTCAGAGCGCAATGGACAGTCCAACTCTAGGTACCACCTATCTGTAGGCAGTGTTATTTATAGATACACCAAAATTCCAGAACATCATTGTCTAGAGCAAGAAGAACCTGTGCAGAAGTAGGGATACCCTGACATGCCAATGTGAGCCCGAACATCTAGGAGAGCAGATTTGCTCAACTGGATGAAAGCCAATAATGTAATGGAAGGCCCAGGCAATTCCTGAGTCCAAATGCTAGCAGCTTCTGTGACTTTACAGGTTAAAGATAAAGTCTCTTGTCATGACAGGACTCTGATATCATCTCGGTTCTCTCATGGAAGGCAGATAGGTGGCTATTTTCTGTCGGCCATCCCCTAAGAAAGATGGCATTTTTTAGGCCCCAGGAAACCATTATTTACCTGATATAGCTAGTGTTCTCTGTGCCAGCTTCAGAGCTAGTTCCTGATGAACATTTCACAACAGTCTACAAGTGTTAGGTCTGGAGCTTGCATTCTATTCCTTTATTTCCCTAGGGTTTTGGCTAAGGCTACAATGCCTAATAATAAGATAATCTACCCTTTTAGTGTGGAGACCTCCAGATACTCCATGATTCATAATTGCAGAATCCATAAGGATGGCTAAAATTTTATGGGCGACTTGATCTTAATGACATTCTTCTTCACTGTCTATTATCACAGCATCTGAATTCTTTTATTTATTTATTGAGTCAGAGTCTTGTTCCATTGCCCTGGGTAGAATGCAGTGGTGTCATCATAGCTCAGTGAAACCTCAAACTCCTGGGCTCCAGTGATCCTTCTGCCTCAACCTTCTGAGTAGCTCAGACTATAGGCATGTGCCATGATGCCCAGCTAGTTTTTCTTTTTTTTTTTTTAGTAGAGACGAGGTCTTGTTCTTGCTAAGGCTGGCCTTGAACTACTGAGCCTCAGGCTCCCAGAGTGCTGGGATTATAGGCATGAGCCACCATACCTGACCACATTATCTGATTTCTTAAATAAAGGAAGTAATGTTGTCTTGGCATTCTGCCACCTTCCAGTGCTTCAAGATCTTGTTCAGGTGTGATCTCTCCTGACTTCTGATCATTCAGACAAGCATTCCAGGGGAGGAATTGGCTTTTATGACATCCTTGACTGTGTCTAGCTATTCCTCAAGCCTGGCATGGTTGAATTGAGTGATGGTTTGTGAACATAGATGCTATTGGCATGCAGGAATGTCTTGGAGACACTCTTGGAAGCATTTCTCAATGGCTCCAGGTCCTGGGAAGGAACGAAATGACATCTAACCCCCTCACGGTATTTCACCTAAAGTAGACTTAAGTATCTGCTGGGCTATCCCCTATAGAGAAATAGTTTGCCCTGACTATCTTCTTGGAAATACATCCTTATATATGCGACAGTGTTCCCTATATGAAGCTACAAATGTTAGTAGTCCTAGGCCTAAAATTGCTTTAGGCTAAAGAATGTTGTATTCATCTCTTGCTCCATTTCTATCGTCAATGGAGGCCATGTGCCTGGCCAGTGGATGAAAACCTGGCAAGGAAAATCATACCTAGCTGAGTCCCAGTGATAGTGATTGGTTTCCTTTGTAATGGGGGATAGTGTGGAGGGGCAATGATTATTTGGGTTTTGGTTGGATGCGTATCATTCAGCTACACTAGGTAGTCTTTTCAGCCCTTGCAAAGTCAGAATTCCATTCTCTTTGTCTTATCAGCAGCCATTGTCTGCCTCTGATTTAGGGAGAAAAGCAAACTATTGAAACTTGAGGATCAACTCATATAACTTTGGTAACACCATGTAAGAGAAATGACAAAGTGTGTTTTATTCTAATTCTAACATGTGATAACCTTATGCCAAACATGTATGTATTCTAGAGAGCCAATATGAACATTGTAATGTATCTGTAAAAATTCAAACAAAACAACTAACCACGTCTATTTTCCTAAAGTGATGTTTTTCAGGGTATATTTTCAAGTTTCATCTTTATTTATAATTAAAGCCTGCTGTTGACAAACAAGGCCTAGTGTTGATGACATTCATATGAGTTTAGGTTCCTCAAAGCTTTATTAAAATACATACCTGGTCTGGTCCAAACCACAATGTAAACATTACTCTAATGTTAATATAGATGTATTTTTGAATGAAACTAAGAATGTGTATATATATATATATATATTGAAAGATACACATGGAAATAATCCATGTTTATCAGTTGTTTTGACAGGTTGTATGATAGTACTTTTCTTCTTGATCAGCACATAGATTTTTCTGAATCCTTGGTAAGCACTATTCTTTAATTTACTAGAGAAATAATACTTGAAGCCTTATATCTAAAAGATAAAATAATACACACACACCATAAAGACATAGGAAGTAGTTGAAGAGTATTTAATAGCATGGGAAAATGCTGTGTTCAGATGTTAAATGATGAGACCATGAGTAACCTCTGATAGGAATTGATACATAGATAACTATGACTATCATGCCATGTGGAGCATATATGGCAAGCGGTAATGACAGCTATCTGGTACCTTCTCTTATGGCTCATGCTAAATTGGTTGCTTACAATTAGACACAGAAGACTAGGAAGACTCCCTGGTTGTCTAAGAGGGGAGCTAGGTCACAGACCATTGGGATTTGTGAATTGTTTCCTAGAGATCTCTAAGCTTCAAGCAATTCCTCTTTTTTCTGCCTTAATCCAGAGGAGATGATTTGATGCCATGGGAAAGTGCTAGACATGTAATTCTCCCGAGGTCAGGCAAGATAGGCCATGTTTAGGGTGGTATGACAGTAGACAAGACATGTAATTCTAAGTAAATCATACCCTCATGGACAAGGTCAGGGGGAAATTTAATTTCTGAAAGAACAAGATTGCTGATGAGAGTGGGTGGTTTTAGTTTGGTTTAGTTCAGTTTGGTATCGGATGAAAAACAAAAGTTCAACAGTGTGAGCTGGTCACCCCAAACTGAACAAACTGCTTGTCAGCCATGTTTCCTGGCGCCTTTGTCTCTGGGTGGTGTTTTTTCAGAAAGGAAAGGCGGGAGAAGCAGACTCCAAGACAGAACACTACTGCCATCTTGAGGAAATAGTTTGAAAACACCCTACGCCATTACAGCCATCTTGAGCAAGGTCTCTGTGGAGAGGTGGGAGAAGCTTGGGCTCGCAGCTGGGCCCCTGGCCTTCTACTCTAATGCCTTAAGAGAGATTTGGACATTGGTGGTATCTTGGTGTAGAACCTGGAGAGTGAAGGTTCTAATGCCAAATGCTCTGAACTTCCCTGTCATCATACTTGGACACTGATACAAGGGACCGAAAGCCCCCTAGCGAAATAACATCACATGAAAGCCTGCTAACTCTTGCTCCAAGGAATAGGGACAGGAGACAAATGACCATAAAAGCCTGCATTTTCCCTGAGCGGGTTCCTCCAGTTCTGCCCACATGGGGAGGAACCAAGGCCCCGCCCCATGACTTCCTGTAGGAGTACCTCCTGGCAGCTGCTGGTTCACTGCACACCCCTCACTCTCCAGGTTCCATGCCAAGATACCACCAACATCCAGGTGTCTCTCCTAACGCCTTCGAGAAGGCAAGGAAGCCCAGCTAGAAACCCAATCCTCTCCCACCTCCCCACAGTCAAGGGAAGTGATAATGGCGTAGGATGCTTTCAAACTGTTTCCTCATGGTGGCAGTAGTGCTCAAGATATGTCAAAAAACCATATGCTGACGCCTTCTCCCGCCTTTCCAGTCTGAAAAAACGCCACCGAGACAAAGGAGCCTGGAAACATGGCAGCCTTGCATTTTGCCCAGTTTGGGGCAACCTGCCCAAACTGCTGTACTTTTGCTTTTGTTTTCCATTTGAAACCAAATTGAGGACTAAAACCACCCACCCTCATCAGGAATCTTGTTCTTTCAGAAATTAAATTTCCCATGACTGTAACAGAGGTGAAGGGAGCAAAATGTTTTACCAACTGTCTCTTTAACCTGCCCCTACTCTTTTTGGAAATTAAAATAAGCATCCATGCCCAAGGCCAGGCCAGTAATCAGAAGGGCAGAGGAATTGTTACTGCCCAACCAGGTTCATTGCCCACTGCCCAAGAGAAAGGCAATACACTGAAACATCAGGTGTTACACAGCAGAGAAAGGGTTTAATTCTGTAGAGCCCTAAGCATTGAGATGGAAGGGATTCCTCAGATCTGCCTTCCCAAGAATATGGGAGACAAGGTTTTTAAAGGAAGTTTGGCTGGCAAAGGATGAGGCAATCAGGGCAAAATCTTGTGTTGAATTTGTTCGTGGGTTGGGGTCACAATTCCAGTTAAGTCAGTTTCTTGGGATGGGTTTCTGGTTTGGGTGGATCGGTCAATCCACTGCAATGTGGGACCTCGAATATATCTCCAAAACTACCTTAGGTTCTGAAAAGGTGATGTTATCTATAGGGAGAGTTAAGAATCTTTATGACCACCAGCTATGTGACTCCAGACTAGCAAATACAGAGAGACAAATAAGGGGATGGTGATTAATTATTGTCATTATATTTAGCTAGGCCTGTGCCTTCACAAAATTTTTAGGACCTTACCCAGTTCTTGCCTTGTACCCCTTTATTGAAAAAGGCCATTTCAATTCGCCCCTGGGCTTTTACCCAACTTCATTCCTCCTTCTTTGAGGTGTGGGCAAATGAGAAGGGAAAGGGCAGACAGCTGACCACTCTGGCTTCTTCTGGCTGGCAAGGGGTATAGTTGGGGTTGAGCCTAGGGTAAAAGGAGCAAGACTGTTTTGCAGTCCTCTGCAAATATTCATGGATGCTGGGTTTTGGACCCAGCATGATGAAAACATTAGTACTTTTATTTATAGCCTTAGCCCAGTACTTAGGTGAACGGTGGACCGACTATAAGATAGATAATGAGCCCTGGGATGAGTGAGAGTCCTAACTTCAAAAGTCCCTGTAGAACTAACCTGAAGTTCTTGGGAATCCAAGTGAATATTCCTGAAAACCATTCAGGTGTGGGGTCACTGGTAGAACCCTGTTGTAGCCACATAGCTTGTTAGTAAATTTTTCTATTCGGGTTTCAACCTCTCCTGAGGTATTTATATAGACACAACAGGTAGTGTTTAATACTGCATAGACTCCCCCTTTTTTAGCCAACAGGAAACCTGTCACTGCATGATTAGTTAAGACTACCTGGGTTAGCAAGTTGATGGACCCTTGTTGAGCCCTGAGGTTTTTTGTAGTTTCTTCTGCAATCAGCCCTAGAGTCACAAACAGTTTCTAGTCATGTCTCCATAGGTATATACTCCATAAGTAGGGACTAGTGCTCCCAGCAGGTTTTGCTAGCAGTTGTCCTGGTTTCCTCCTGGCAACCTTCTCTTAAGAGGTCTATCAGGAAGGGAGTGTAGACCCTCAGTGAATCTTTTCTAGCTCAGGTATGGAAAGACCTGACTACACTAATGGAGACTCTCTACAGATGCAAGTCTGCCCCCAACAATACACATGAAAGACCGATTTGTAGTGTTACTTCTGTGTCAGCCATCCCAAAATATGACAAAGAAATGTATTTTGGGGTACAATACTTCTAATTTCTTTCAGTCCTCACTTCAAAATTAAAGGTTTTACATATTAAAACCCAAGATGTTATCTCGGGACTAAGAAGCCAGAAGGAAAAATAAAACCCAAATTGGAACAAATTTAACCACTTCGGTACCAGCGTCGACTATAGCCACTGATTAACGCACACGGTGACTTTAGCCGACAGC